GGGGACCACCCCCACTACCACACACACACACAAGCACGCACACACATAGCAAGGACAAACACAAACAGGATCAACAGGCTGTCAGGCACAATCCCCATTTCCTTCCAATTTAATTTGCTTGCCTGTCTTCTTGCTGGCCAATAATACGAGCTAATACCACATCTGGGGAGATTAAAAGGGCCCAATCCACTTCCCCCCCTCCAGACCTTTGCCACAAAAACCATCAAACATTCCCAGAAATTGCAAAGCAGGAGGAAAAACAAGGGGAGGAAGAGGAGTGGAAGTGGCAGGGAAAGAACCAAAGGGAAGACATAAAATCTGAAAACCGACTAAAATTCTCTGGAAGCTTGGCTTAAAACGCCCAGGCCATATCAAATCATGTTCCCCCGCCACCACTCGCCCCTCTCTCTGACATCCCTGCCCCACCCACTCCACCATCTCATTACACACTTGTTACACGGTGGAAGGGGGCGGAGGGAGGGAGTCTCTGCCGCTTACGTTTGGAGGTCAATGAGCTTTGCTTTGCCTGGCTCGGTGCTCGTCTTGAGACTGTAAATTTCGACAAAATACCGCTACATTCAATGGCTTTTGCACGTCTCTGTGTGCGTGTGTGAGTGTGTTTGCCTCTGTGTGTATATGACTGTGTGTATGTCTGTGTATTACCAAATATTGAGCAATAAGAATAAGAATTTCGGTTTCTTTCGCTTGTCATACAGACAGTTACAAAGCGGCTTTTGTTGGGGCAGACAGACATAACACCGCCCCACCGCCATACCGTCCGTCCCTAGCTCTCTCCCCCTGTCTCTTTATCTCTCTTTCTTCCATCGAATGCATTCTTATTAAATTTGTCTGCTAAAAATACATTTCGTTTAAGCTTACGAGTTTATTGAGCAACAGAAAAGAACCAAAAATCTGTATTAAAATGCATATGTATAAAAACACAAGGCACAGGGCAAATGCAATTTAATTCTCAAGAGATCTCTTCCGCTCTTCAATTACATCGCTCACCTGGTGCTCTCTTCAGGTGCCCGCTGCCGCAGCCTCGGACGCTGCCTGCCTGCTCTCTTTTGCGCTTGATCATTTTGCTTTCTCTTTTGATACTTTCTTTCATCTGCTCTCGCTTGGCTCTCTTTCGACGCTCTCTCTCTCTCTCTTTTTCTCTCGGGCCTTCACACACACACATGCTTGGCATTTTTTCGTGTGTTTTGATTCCTTCATTCTTGTGGCCGCCGTTGCTTGAGCGCTAAGAACGTTCGTTGACCTCTGCTGTTGCTGCTGCTTCTGCTGCTATGTTCTGTTTAGTGCTGGGGCTGGCTCGCTCTCCTCTTCTCTCCACAGCTCTGCTCTGTGGTGCTCCAAGTGGACTTCTTCTTCTTCCCGCTTAGCGGTACTTCTCAACCTGTTTTATATCTCTCCCTCTCTAGCGGGCGTGAATGTATCTGTATCTGTGTTTGTGCTAGTGTGTGTGTGAGTGCTGTTTGCCGTAGAAGTCTTCCTGTTTATTCAGCGATTAAAGGTGCAACTGAGAAAGTTCCAGCGCCGTCGCGACGGGCCCCAAAGCAGCGCAACGTCACGGGTCTCGGGTCCCTGACTCTCGGACATTTCTGATCTCTGATGAAATGCACGCATGACTCTTTCTTACAAGTATGTAAAAATGTATGTACACACTTACATACATATGTATGTATGTACATATGTATGTATGTTTCATATGAATGTTTCATCTTTTATACTTTCTGGTTGCTGTGTGGATATTTTCGAGCAATGATCACGCATTTAATTAGCAGGAATTTTGATTCTTCTTTCAGGTGTGTATGGGTGTGTATTTGTGTGTGTGTGTGTGTGTCTCTGTGTTCCTGTATGGTGGAGGGTGGCACAGCTCTTACAGCTCCTTTCTCCTTTCTTTACTCATACCGTCTGAGCGCGGCTTCTGGTGCTTCGTACACCGATTTTCGCTCGCTTGTACACAGGTTCCCGTCGGGGATGACGATGACTCCACCGCAGAAGATGATGATCAGGCCAGATGCAACGGGTCTTCGCCTTGGCCTTCTGCCATTTAGTGTGCAATCGTGTGTCCCCACGTCCAGTCCTGTCCATTTGGTTGCTTGGAAGCTGGAAGCTGAAAGCTGGATTCTGGCTCATCTTCTCATCTCGGATCCGCCCCTCGGCTCTGCTCACTTCCACTCATCGCAGTTCGTTCGGCCTTCTTCCTGATCCGATTCGTTGAGTTTTGCGCGCGACTCCGCCCGACTCCTCTTGGCCAGCTGGCCTGGCCCATTTCACCGTTTGAAATCCGTTTGGTGTCGTCATCGCTTTCTGTGCCCGGAGCTAATTAAGTGGCAGCCAAATCGGACACGGACTCATCCCCCCGGCCTGGTCCCATGATGATTCTGCTGCAGCCCCTGATCTTGTTGAGTGAAGGGTTCAAGGCTACGACCCTGATCGGGTGACTGTGCCCGCCAGTGGAACTATATTTGTACACCCATAGATGAGATCCGAGAAACTGGATAACATGCCAAGCACAATCAGAGGTGAGCTACCAACCGCATAGGACAAGCGTTGGGATCGGGGGAACGGAATTAATTTTCGAATATTAATTCATATTTCATATATTAATCCGTTTAAATTAATATTATTTGCTGGGATTTCTATGTGCATAAATGGAAGGTCATAATTGTATGAAATATATGTACAATGTATAAAAGTATTTCTGTACAATATACATACGTTTGCCATTACAAGAAGCTCTAAGAGTTAATCCACCTCTCATAGAGCTTTAGCTTGCGAGAGTAAATCTTATGGAGATTAGATCTCTCTGCAAAATATCCTTAAACATTTCCATTCCTTTATAGATCTTTCAACGGTTTTAACTATTTTTTAATTTATTTAAACTAATTTCAATTGAAATTAAGCATGCAAAATGTGTATGTTGGTCCAAATTTTCGTTTTTTTGTTATAGCAAAATAATACAAAAAAAATAAATAAAACCTGTTTGATTTCGCAATCAATATAAAGGTGAAAACTAAAAAGTTTCGCTGGCAATCAAAATATTTCTGGTGATATTAGTCGGCTCCTCGACTATCAACCTTGCAGGGCTTTTGCATGGCCCATGGTCTAATGGATTCATTAAACAGGCAGCAACAACAGCAATTAATTGATCATAAAAGGCAACGGCTTTCAATAGCCGCGTATAGATGGATGGATGGATGGAATATGCAGTCGAGCTTCAAGACATGCAATGGTTCCTACCCCTTCCCCTCCTCCATTACCGACCGCGTCTCCGTTTCTGGTGGATTTCCGATTCTAGCCAAAAGACTTTACAACATCTTCAAGGCGCTGAGCGGCTGCTGGCGCAACAACAGCAACAACTACAATGAGCCAGTGTTGCCTCATCGACAACAGCGCTGCAATAAACCAGTCGTTGGCGGTGGTGGTGGCATGGAGGGGGCGGCGGCGGGGGCCGTGGCGGAGTGGCAGAGAGTCGCAGCTAATCTTGCAACACAGTTGCGCAACAAAGAATCCGAAACAACGGTACTAACGTGTTTGTTTGTGGGGCTTGCTGCTGCCGCTGCCGCTGCCGCCGCTGCTGCTGCCATGTTCTGTTCTTGGCAGCAGCAATCAGCTTTGAGCCAGTTGCGTGTAACAGGTTTTTCCTCTTGAATAACTGGGACTTTCTTACGGGACTTTTTCGGAGAGTTCTGCACAATGACGATGGAGGAAAACAGGTTGGCATCCATTGGCATGGCATAGACTCGCAATAGAGGGAGCAGCAGCAACAACAGCAGCAAGAAGAAGAACCAGCCTCGATCGGGGCACAACGGTGAGGCACACATTTCACGTTAGAACCAACGGTTCTCTAGCCAAGTTGCAAGCCGCAGCTTGGGGCCAGGCCAGAACAAGTTAGGCTCTTGGCAGTGGTTGCGCAAGCAAGCGACGGCAGCTGAAACCAGCACAAAATAAATCTAACATGATTTAAGCAACGGAAAAACATGAAATATTAATGCTGATGGTTGGCGGCCCCTCTCCTAACTCTAGCTCTTCACTCTCGACAGTTGGTGGTTGTTGGTTGGTGGTTGCTGGTTGGAGGTTTGCTTGTGGTTGGCGGTTACTGCTTGACGATGGTAACGGTTGACAGTTGTTCGCCCTCCATCTGCTCCCCTGCCAGCGCTAATGAACCGATCCGAACCGATCCGATCCGATCCGTAAGGGCCCACTTGGGCGATTAATCCACATCTGAATTGGGTAATGCGCAAACGAATCCGTACCCCTTACTGCTTAGGCCCCCCTCCACCAACTCAACTCCATTGCAATGAATCGTTGCGGTTGTTGCAGTTCTTAGATGATTTTTTGCAGTTTCATAGAACACCTGCTGTAGAAAATATTACATGTAAGAAATGTAACTCGAAGTAATCCTGTTCTGTCCAACTGAACTCAACCCATCCTAATTTTCTCTTTATAATTCCACTATACTTAACTATATTTAATAAATTCAGAGTCCACAGTGTAGTAAATACATACATATATGTATGTTCATATATATTATAACAGCCTATCGGTCTTTTTAAAAATACCCTTCAAATCCCTCAATTAAATATAGGAGTATCTGGAGACTTCTTTGCAGAACCCGAACCCCTGTTTCGAACAAAACTTATCACAACTCCATGGGGAACTAATTAATCCAAATCTCAAAGTTTGTCTTGCGACATTTAACTATTTTGTAAACCCTAGAATACATTCCCCACAATGTTTGCCAAAACATTTGAGTTCAAACTTGCCGCCTTGTCCGCTTCCACCCTGAAAAGCGCTAAAATTTCCCTTCAACAGTTTTCCAACTCAGTGAGAATTTCCCCGCCATCACGGAGAGAGAACGAACGGCTCTTAGGGGTGGAAAAATGCTGCGCAGCAGTGCCGAGTGCGTATCGACTCGCGTCGTCACCTTCCACTTCCAGTTTTCCCATCTATGCACTTGGCATTATGCCTACTAACCCTATTTCGTAGCTCAGTTCGCAGCGAGTCCCATTTTTGCGCTGCATGTGTGTGCGGCATATATCTATTGGTGTGGAATGCGATTTTCCCAGCGGAGTGCGCGAGTCTGTGTGCGCCAGTCCTCCCCTTCCAAGCTGCCACTGACGGTGGCGCGCAACGCAACCCCACGAAACGGAAAGTTTGTGCAGCGGCAGGCAGCAGGAAATGTGTTTGTGGCACTCGAATTTGGGACACATTCCTGCAAAGGACGCAGCTTCGGTCAGCTGCTGCCAACTGCTGCTCCAGTCCGAGGAGTGCACCTGCAACCAGAAGCCACAAAACGCGCGCGCGACGCATCCAATCAATGAACATTTTGCACACTTCCCAGCGAGAACTAAGGAAAATTCGGGAAGTAATTCTTAAAAGTGATTCGGCATACGATTGCCACATCGAAAGTGAATTACAGCCAATGGAAAACAACTGACTTTGGAGTCTTGTCGCCTGTGAAAGTGTTTCAAAAGGTTCAAAAATAATTAGCAGTCGAGGAAAAGGGAAAGCGGAGCCCTGCAGGATACAGCGACAGCCCTCTCCAGATCGCATCGATTTGCATGTGTGTGCCCTGCCGCTGAAAAATCGATTATTAAAGCAACTGGCAAGCCACTTTCCACTCGCTAGCAGCTGTTGGTTGTCGTTGTTGCTGCTGGCTCTGATGGTGGTGGTGCTGCTGGTGGAGGTGGTGGTGGGTGGTGGTTGTGGTTGCGTGCCGCAATGTGGCGAATAAACAGTGGCAAGAGCAGCAGCGCTGGCAGAGACACACTTCCAACTGATTTGACGTCGGCGAGTTCCAATGGCGCTGGTTCCACCGAATGCTGCAGCGCAGCCTTGCAGCCATCCAGCAGCTCCTCGTTGCATGTGCAGCAGCAGCAGCAGCAGGATACGAAAGCGAGGATGACAACAACGAGGACGAGAGCGACAACGACTACAAGCAGCCGCGGACACGGATACAGATACAGGCACAGCCACAGATACACAGCAATAATAGCAGCAGCAACAGCAGCAACAATCGTTGCAAAATAGCCCAGAAGCTGCAGCGTATTGTGGCCAATAAGGAAAATCTATTCAATTAAAAGACACAAGCGACAGTGTGAGAAAGACAACACAACCAGTTAATCAAACCGACTAATTCATCAATCGGAACTATCGCTTATAACGCACAAAGCAGTCGGCCCAAGCCCAGGGGTCACGTTAAGTATACGACGCGTACTTCCAGCTGCACGTCACAGCGAGCCAATCAGAACGAATCGAATCGAAACGTAACGAAACGAAACGCACAGGTGCATTAGTCCCCCCGAGTCCCTACTCCCGAGTCCCGAGTCCCCACTCCCACTACCCCCACGGTATCTACATCATTTGACAAGCAATTGCGGGATGGGAAAAATGTGAAAAAAGGAAAAAAAAAATATGTATATGTTTAGTAGACAATTTTAAGTGCACTTTCGTAAGGCTGATTTTGAATTTACTTATTTCGATGTTGTGCTTCTACACCCACAAAGAGACGATACCCAGGCAACAATCAAACCACGAGCAATGAACCAAGTGAAAGTGTTAAGTGCTTAGCGTTAAGGAAATACACAATACCAAAAGAAAAGAAAAGATAAGGGGTTTAAGCGACCAGTAAGACTCTCCAGACAGTTATCAGAAACAGCCGCCACGACGGATAGGCCCCGAGATCTCCTGCTGATTCAGCAGGCCAAGCCCACAGGCAGCAACAACAACAGGGCCTCGCCCGGTGGCAGTCACTCGTACATCGATGCGGACGCCGCCACTGCCGCTGCCGTGGCCAGCCTGCGCAGCAAGGTGCCCTCCATATCGATAATTCCGCTGCCGGTGTCCACCACAATCGTGGCCAGAAGTGGCCCAGCCATCCAGACATCGCCGCCGCAGCTGACGCATGTACGCAGCACCTCCAACAAGGCCACAGCGACATCTCCACCACTGGCGTTCCTCTCGGAGGCGGGTGCTTCGAGAGCATCCGGAGCATCCGGAGCGGCAGCTACTCCCGCACTGGCGATCCTGCAACGACCGCAGCAGCAGCATCAGTACCAACAGACCGACAAGTGCACCGTGCTGAAGCTGGACATGCTGAAGCATCCGATGGCCAGCACCACGGGCAACAGCGCGAATTCGAGCACCACCAGCGCCACGTACCTGCAGATTGAACAGCAGCTGAGCGAACTGGAGGCCGCCGACGAGGAGGAGGAGAACATGGCCAGCCTGCTGGGCAGCGCGCCGCCGGCCCAGATCCTGGCCAATCAGCCCATCATCGTGAAGATCGAGCCGAATCAGTCCTTTCATATCGTGGACGAGGGCGACACGCGGGTCCTGAGCCTGCCCCTTAGCGATGCCGACAAGTTGGGGGCCAGCTGGATCGACCTCAAGGACATTGCCGGCCTGCAGGCGGGCAGCACGCTGCTGGATGTGTGCTTCGAGCAGACCACTGAGGATGGCACCATCATAGCCACGGTCCAGCCTGATCCGGAGATGGAGCTGGACGCGGAGCTGCAGGCCGAGCTCGAGGCGGAGGACGAGACTGAGCAGGAGCCGCCTGCTCCCAAGCGAGTGGCCAGGCAGCAGCCGGCACGTACGCAGCACAAATTCATGACGGAACCTCCGGCCCTGGCCAGGTCGAGTAGCTTTAGCAGCCTGAGCAGCTTCAGCAGCATCAGCAACATCAGCTCCGTCTGCAAGAACATGACCAGCAACACGAGCGAGAGCAGCATCAGCAATCCCAAGGCGCGGGACCGGGACAGGGATGGGCCCAAGGAGCGAACGTCACCGCCAATGCCGCAGCTCAACGCACAGAAGTCCGCTGCAACGACAGCGGGCACATCTGCCACATCGGCCAGAGAGAGCCACGGCAGCAGCAGCAGCGGCAGCAGCAATGCCATGACAGGTAAATCCGATTAATAGCCATTAAGTTGCCACTTGAAAGCCAAACTCGACTTAAGCCCAATGGAGTTCTGGTTGGCAAGCGCTTTAAGCTCCCTGACTTAAGTTTAATATTCCGATTTAAAGAGCATCTAACTGTGTCCCACATGAGGACTCGCTCGTATTAATTGCTAGACGAGACTACATTTGACTAGACTGGACATATTTTAGCGTGAGGAATTCTGACTCCATCTCATCTTCGTATTAAATTTTGACCCACTGTGAAGTGGCCTGCCGAAGGGAGTCGTGACGGGCCACAGTAGTAGCTCACAGAGTGAACAATGGCCCATTCGTGGTTTCCCTTGACTATCTGCACTACGAATCGAGTGGCATCCAAGAATCTAAGAATTCAAATGAACGAACGCTCATTGCGCAAGCATCCTCAGCAGCAGCAGCAGCAGCAATTAACAGGCTGACACATCAGCAGCTCGAGCAGTGGCAGCAGCGGGGCAACAACAGGTGTACACACCCCATGCTAAAAAGAATTTCAATTTACAAGCCGCCTCGATTTATTGGCTATTCACCTTTGTGTGGCTGCAGCAGCACCGGCCGAGGCAGAGGCAGAGCCAGTGGCAGTGGCAGTGGCAGAGGCAAGTGTCCCACTTTCCACAGCCAACAGCCAACAGCAACAAGAACATGTTTTGACATACTAAATAAGCCTCACTCACTCCGGCCATGTCTAGGTGTTCTTTGCCATTAGGTTCTGTTTCTGTTAGCTGTTTCGCTGTCTCTCCTTACCCGCTGCTGTGACGCTGTACTGCCACTGTACTGCTGCTTTTCTGCTGTTTTTTTTTTCGCGATTCTCGCTGCCCCGCCATATTCGCTTTACTGCTGCTCGGCTCGAATGAGCAGGCTACCCAGCAACATGGCCAAGACTCTGCTGCTGCTGCTATTGCTGATGGTTCTTCTGCTTGGCTCATATTTTTACCGTAGCTCGAACCCTAGCGGTAAAAGCGTCAACTACAAACTATACAGTTAGCTGAATGGAGTCTAAGCACAGAGAGAGAGAGAGAGAGAGAGAGACACAGCGAATTAAAGAGGGAAGAGGAAGGCTCAAACCCAAGCTAAAACATAATAGAATTAACGTCTGTAGGCACTCAAGCTTGCTGGGAGGAACGGGAACGGGACAACTTTACCAGCTAAGCTGAAAGAAAAATTGATTTGGCAGCGCTTCAGGGCCCGAGCTCGGTTCTGCTCGGTTGATGGCTACAAATGAGTGTCAGGCACTGACACGACTTCCCTGCAGAAGCCCCACAGTCAGTCGGCCAAGATTGATCTATATTTTATAGTTTTTGTTGATAGTTTCTGCTCAGGGCGGACGTACTCATTAGCCAGACGGGGCTGGGCAGGGCGGGGCGGTAGGGCTGTAAGTCGGACCTGCTCGGCCCGTGATTGATGATCGATCACATGAAATGTTACCTAATTGCTGTCCCAACTGAACGAAAAACCAAACTTGGAAAACTTCCATCAGAACAAGTCCAGAAGCTATGGCTATTGAGTCTCCCCTCCCGTTCGACGCTCTTTCTTAAGTTCCTTTAAATAATTCATCGATAACCAAAGACTCCAAAATGGGCAGAGAGAGTTTACCAATTTGATTGAAATAATTTGTAGAAATTAATTAAGTAATTTTATTGATATTAAAGCGGCATGCAGAGCCATCAGAATATCGTTCCCAATCATTCTCCATAGGCCTCTTTGTCCAACCAGTATATCTTTTAAGTATTCCTTTCAATCAACAAAGTTGATTCACTTTCATTACTTCATTAGTTTCGCCCCAAAATGCTCCTCCAAAACTCGTTTAAGTCAGCCAACAGTCACTTGCGGATTTGACAATGATTAGCCCACATAATAATAGTTGGCAAAAATATGTTTAAATAAGACAAAAAGGTTTTCTTCATTCGACCCTTTCTGCAGGATGGGCGACGGCGACCCTGAACGTGGTCGATGGACTTTGCTGGCTCGTCGGCGTCGTTGTGGTTGTCGATGTCGTCGAAGATGTCGCAACGGAAAGATTACGAGATATATCTTGTCTATTGGGACTCACACCACTATCACTTTTTGTGGGTATATATATAGATATATATGTATATATCGATGGTTATTGCTGTAGTCTCCCATATGAATTGGAGTCAGGTTCATTATAATTTTGGTTGAACAACGCTTTGCATTTCACGCATGAATCTTCTGGCCGTCGACCATTAGCCAGGTCAGCGCCGCATGAGGCTGCCTTCGGCTCCGATCGAGCGTGGCGAAGTTTCATTATCATATTTTGGTATTTTGCCAAACTTCGTCGGGACTGGGGCTGATCGCTCGGGCCAGGGCGATGTCGTAATGCCCCAATTGGCTGGCGCCCATCTCTTTTGCGTCTATGCAAAATGCGAATTATGCTGCACACACACACACACACATACAAACGATCGTAGCTTTGGATGTGGCGGATCTGAGAGCTAATGGCTCAGCATCCCCACCAGACGAAAATCCATAAATTAACAAATGAAATATTAATTTATGGCCAGAGCGCGAAGTTGTGTGGTGTTTCTTTTTCGATTTTCAACATTTACATGTCGTCTTATTTTCCAATTTGCCTTTTATTTTTTGGCAAACTTCGAAAGCAAATTGCCAAATTTTTAAACCAATTTTAACATTTTTAATTGGCTGCAGTTCACCTTGACTGCTGCTGCTGCAACTGCTGTCTGATTTTCAAAGCGAGCTTTTAATATTTATAAATTTAATAAATACAAAACACAAAATATATTTATAATCTAATGGAATCTATGGAACTCCTTGCATGCGCAATGGGAGGAAGTTGGCAGGACACTGGCTGGAGGCAAGCTAATCTGGAGCTTACCGCTGAAAGTGGGGGGAGGCATGGGTATGGTATTTATTGTAAATGCTGCCCGACTGCTGGCTGACTCCTGGCTGACTGGCTGGCGAATAAGTCAACTGCAGTGCACACATTTTGCCCTAAAAAGCAATTGACCTGCTAATTGCGGGAGGCAGATGGGACCGACCGACCGGGAAATGCAAAAAGGAAACGGAAAAACAGCGGCAGCTTTTCCAAAGCTCTCTCTCTCTCTCGCTCTCTCCCTTCTTCCCACTTCCTAACGCTCTCTTTGTGCAAAGAGAACGAATTACTCGCTTTAAGAGAGCGAGCCCCAAACGGCAACAGCTGATTGCCGCTCTGTCTCTGCGCTCTCTGGACAACATTTTGGCGTTGGTTGGGGCCTCAGAGCGATTGGTTGCCATAGCGAATGAACGGCCCAAAGCGGAATGCTGACAACAGAAAAAGTTGGAGAAGCCTCAGCAGCAGGAGGTGTGGGCCAAGGCGGGTTCCGTGGGGCCAGAGGCGGATGGAAGAAGTCATCGGCACAGAGACACATATACCCACTCAGCGGGCAGCGCTGCTTTGGGGGCTGACGCTGCCTCTGTCTCTGCCTCTGCCCCGCACTGCTGTGAACTCTCTCTCTCTCCCACTCTCTGCGGCGCGCTCTGCCGCTCCACCGCTCTCTGGCGCTCTCTGCTGCCACACAGCACACCGCATTGCGACGCTGCCACTGCCACTGCCACTGGCTCTGCTGCGGCGCTGCCGCCGTACCGTACCGTACGTACGACGACAACGAACTCGATAACATTTTGAGGCACGGCACGGCACTCTTCGGCTACACTTTGAATCGAGCGAATGCGGCGGCGGGTTACGATGCGCAGCGCGTTGTATCTTTATTATTAATTATTTGTTGTTGCTGTTTACTCTGTATTATTTCCCATCATCACTACTCTGTGACTCGGTGACTTGACTGCGTGCGTATCCGTATCCGAATCATCCGTATCCGTATCCGTGTGCGTGTGTCCGTCTATCCGTGTGTCTATGCGATTTTCCGCCGCGTCTATACAACGGCTCCAAGCGGCTCCAAGCGGCTCCAAAAAGCACAGCCACTAAACTAACGCGCGCGCTACCCCCACTCCCCTCGCCACTAGCCACTGCGTGCCTGCTTGAGTGTGTGTGTTTTTGTGTGTGTGTGTGTGTTCTAGCCAAAGTGCAACATCGGCAACGGCAGCAGGAAAATTGGAATATTGCAACAGCAGCAGATAAACTATCTGCCACGCCGTGGAAGTTTGTTCGGTTTCAGATCAAAACAAAATCATAGAATAAATATCTAATATATTAATACATATATATAAATCGGGAGAAAAAGCGAAAGAGAGAGAGAGAGAGAGAGATATATTATCAATCAATATCGAGTGCATTCAAATTCCAAATCGTGCCTAATACAGCAAAAACAAAAGAAAAAGAAAATAAGAAATAAAATAAAAGAATATATAAAAACCAAAACCAAAATGCAACTGCAACTGCAATGCGGTCCCCCCCTGCCTTTACCTTTGACCCGTTAGCGACGGAAGTGCCAGTGACGTAATACAATACTCCAGACTCCGAGCGCGGAGGAGAGGAATGCAAAGCGCGGCCCTTGTCGACCCCACTCGACGGACACACGGATTCAATTGTGTAACAAAAACAACGCAAATTTCAGTGTATGTGTGCGATCGATGCATGCGTGTGTGTTTGTGTGTGAAAAGGATATAAAATTATCAAATTAAATGCAAAGTAACAGAAATTAAAAGATAAATGAAAATTCCCCCATCGGAAGCGCAGGAACAGGGCACCGCGACAGCCCCCGCCACCACAACAAATTGGATAATTTATTGGAATAATCAATTGGCCTCTAATCGGACTGTTAGCAGCCACTTTTGGATATACGAACCGATCGGGTATTAGGAGATTCGGAGAGTCGGGGAATGGAAATGGTTTAGCTCATTTGTGGGTTAGTTGGGGGGAGGGGTCAGGAGTGAGGATCAGCTGGGACTGTTTCATTGCTTTCCTCCCCTGCCGCTGTTCAGTTGATTCTCTCTCTCAGTTCGAATTTGGTCAAATGGATTCCGTTAGAAGTCCTTCTGCTGCTCCCCCTCATGCCCTAACAGGCAAAACTGTCAGCTAAAGTTTTCCTGTAATCTTTCATAGTGCGGCCATTGTTTTTCCTATCCCTCCCCCTCCCCCCTCCAGAGATCTGAGGTACTCAAATGCACGAGATGCCCTTTTCTTCTGGAGCTTTTCTAGTTTTTCCTTTGTAGTTGCTGCTTTTCCCATTGTGCAGCGCTATGATTATCAACAATTGTTATTGTTGCAGTTGCAGTTGCCAGTAGGCGGCTTGCTTGGGGCAGGGGGCAGGCAGAGTGAGTAGTTGGCAGTAAGTCACTGCGGCCCAGAGTTCAGAGCAGAGCAAAGTCGGTCGCCGTTGGGGTCCCTGCTCCACCATCATCATGAGCCCTAGCCACCCACCCACCGACTTCCACTTCTACACAAAAATCCCCATTCCCATTACCGCTCCACGCCCCCCTTGGCAGCACCAACTGTTTGCATTACCGTTAGTAGAACACACACCCACACACACACACACACACACAAACACTCCATGTGTCGTGTCGTCGGCTATAAGTGTGCCACCCCAGACTACCGCCCAACAGCAGCTAGAAGCGGAAAACAGCCTAAGCAGAAGTGGTGGGGCAGCGGCAGCGACAGCAGCGGAGCCCACCCATAGGTCATTGGTCTTTTTCGTCGGCGTCAACGTACTGCGACGGCAACAGCAACAGCAGCAGGCAGCAGGCAGCAGTAGCAGCGGCAGAAGTAGAATCAACAGCGACGCCGACTGCGATGCCATGTAAAGTTTGTCGTCTGCTTTTCTGTCGCTCTGTTGCTGTTGCTGTTGTAACTGTAACCGCCTTCGGCCTGGCCTCTTCCTCCCCCCTCGCAACAGCGCGCGCTCTCTTGCTCTCTCTTTCTGTTTCTGTTACACTCTTTCTCACCCGTTATCCCGCTTTCCACCATCATCATCATCATCATCAACATCAACATGATTATCATCCTCATCATCGGCTTGACCGGCTCGTTAGCTTGGGGGTACCGTTAGTAAGTTCGTTGTCGTCGCTGCGAGAGAATTTTTCATTTTAACTGTTTTACTGGCGCTGCCGCTGCCGTATTTTGCCGTATTTCGCTGTGTTTCGCCTCTCCGGCTGTGTGCGGCTATTCATTTTCATTTTCTTTTCAGCCTTTCTTCTTTTCATTGCGTTCTGTCTGTATGTAAATCCTTCTCTCTCTCCCTCGCCAACTCTGTCTATCTCTGCCTCCACTCTGTCGCTGTCGCTGTCTCTGTCCCGCTCTCGTTCTGTGAGCTGGCACAATTTCTGTGTTGTTGCTTTTGCTGTTGCTGGGGCTTGCTGTCGCTTTGGTGACGTATTTTATATGTCTGCCGGGGGCTTCCGCATGGCCACCCAAAGCCACCCCAAGCCGCCTCCAACAAAGTAATCGCTAACACCCGCGTTACGCCGCACCCCCCACCACACCCACTACTTCTGTTCGTGTAACCAAAATACAGAGAGTGTGACAGAGAGGCAGAGCAACCGAGAGAGAAAGAGTGTCAGCGAGAGAGAGAGAGAGAGAGAGGGAAGAGGGAAAAGTAAAATGTTTTCATATTCATTGGGTTTGCCGGCTCGTTTGTGTTTTTCTGACTGCGTGTGTGTGAGTGTTTGGGTCATAGAACTTTTTTCTATGTTCACACACACACACGAACACACCCACAACTGACGATGAGATTTATGCGCTCGTTTTTGTGTGGCGCTCACTCGCGTTGCACTCTGCGGCAGCCCCAACATGGGCCACCCAACAACCCAACAACCCACGCCCAACCCTCTCGTCTGTCTGGGCACCCTTAAATCCCATTTCTCTATCGATTTTCCATGTTCATGTTGTGGATAATCACCGCCACAAGGGGAGTAGTTGCCAACCCCAAGGGAAGGTAGGGGGCTGGCTGTAGAGGGATGGTCGTGGTCGGCCCAGTTCCTGTTCCTCGTTGTGTTGGGAATATTTAAAGTGAAATTCTGATCGGCACACACGCACAGGCGCGCGCATCGATGGATCCATTGATCGACCCACAATCGATGGATGAATAGTAGACAGCCTGGTAGCCCTAATTGCGACTGTGATCGTTCCCATTTCGTTTCCCTGTAGACGACACCCCGCTCCCGAGCAATATGCTGAGTGCCAGGACCTGGCCCTGGCTGACAGTGCGTAGGAAAAGTATTCACATGACTGGCCAAGCCATTCTGTACATCAAGGTGTTCAAGCTGACGACATAGACCGTTCAGAGGGGAAACGAGTGCGCCTAAATGTCTTCCGGAATCAATTGTCGTGAGATTTTCGTATTTTTGGAAATTTTGATTTGGAATCAAACGAAACAGAGAAATCGACAAAACAGTCAGCATAGCAACAACAATAGCGGCGGCAGCAAAGAGACAACAACCAGCGGCGGCGGCAGCAGCAGCAGAAGCAGCAACCACAAAAATCACTGCAACCGGAGAAGCGGCAACAACAACGCAGTGAAAGTGATAAAGCAGCAGCAGCAGCAGCAGCAACAGCAACAGCAGAGGCAGCCACTGCCCCTGCCACTGCACGAAGCAGGAAAAAACAAAAACTCTCGTAGCAGCAGCAGCAGCACGAACAGCAACAACAACTGTCTGCATATTCTGCAAAAGGGTTGAACAAATGAACAATTAACAAATCATTGATGAATCGCTTTAAACATTAAACAAAACAAAACAAAAACACAAGTTAAAAAATACGCGAACAAGTGTCTTATTAATAAATAGTTAAACAAAACAAACAAGCAACAATATAACATTATATAATAACCAGATCCAGCAACATCAACAATTTAGTACCTACAGGCCTGACAACGTTAGATCATTATACTATAGTATACATCTATAGCAATATACACCATATATACAGACATATATATATATATACCTATATACATACCCAAATCGATTGGCAAGTCCCCCGCCCCCCACCCTCTCACAACCCCTCTGTCTCACAAACACCCACACACTGTGATAGTTCTTGATTCACACGGAAAAGCGGAAGTCGAAGGAAATTCATTCGTAAAGATATATGGAAGCGAACAGCGGATAGTAGACAAGAGGAAGACCAAGTGCAATAAGAAATTGGCTAACAAATCATAGCCGAAGGGCAGCTACATACATATATATACATATATGGTATATATATATATATATCAACATATTAAATCCTGTATACAACGTTTTACACATTTACATAAAGTAAACCTAAAACTAAGGCGAACTTAAAATTCATTCGGCGGCAAAGAGCATCCTCCATATTGCGCATACGCCACGTAAGGCCCGCGGCATGAGTGTGTGGCTGAGTACACCAGCAGCTGCCACAACTAAATCAACGTGTACATAATACTTCTTGCAACTGCAACTGCAACAACAACAACAACAGACACGCGCTACAAACGTCACCAAAGCTACGCATTTCGCATTTCTCACTAATAATTATGTATACGCAACGGATGTTTGACATGTGGAGCAGCGTCACTTCGAAACTGGAAGCACACGCCAACAACCTCGGTCAAAGCAACGTCCAGTCGCCGGCGGGACAAAACAATTCAAGCGGTTCCATCAAAGGTAAAGCAAGTCCCATCCATTTACTTGGCTCCGCTTGGCCAGCAAGCTCTAGACTAAGCTGGTTTGGGGAAACCCCGCCAAGAATAGATCTTGCATAAAATTTCTCGATTATCTAAGAATTATCTAACTTATCAGGGAGAAACTATAGCGTTAACTTTATTTTTATTACGCCTTTAATAAATATATCTCTAGAACTTACCAAAAACTACATGCTATGTTAACACTGACATTTTTCCACTTTAAAGTATTTTTTGTGAACTTTCATCCCACAAAATCAAATGGAAAAATTGCACAAAATAGTAAAAAAGAAAGAAACGTAAAAAAAACGATTGTAATTTAATGAAATTCAGTTAAGTGCGAAGTTTTATGTGGCAGAGCTGTGGAATTGCAGAGTCAGTCAGTCAGTCACTCAGTCAGTTGGTCCCGGAATGGATTGCTGCCTCTGCCACTGATGATGTTGTTTGGCAGTGAAAGTCACTTGGGTTTCACAACAACAACAATAACAACAACACCAACAGCAAGAGCAACAACCACAGCAGAAAAGCAACAAAAATTATTTTAGGGAAATCCATGAAATTCGTAAATGAAGAAAGACGCCATAACAACAGCGGCCAAATGAAACATTACGAAACCTTATGCCAGACACACAACACACGCATATTTTGCATAGGTGTGTGAGTGTGTTTGTTTGCTTGTGGTTTTGTTGCTTTTTTTGCATTGACAATTCAACTAATTTGAAATCAGGCAGTCAGATAGTAGAGAAACAGTCAGCGAGCGGCGCGGCGCGGTGCGGCGCGACCCTTTCGCTCGCCCAAAACATACAAAGATACAAATTGTATATGTAACAAAAATATGCGAGCAATAAAGAGATTCACAAAAAAAGAATAATAAAACAAAATGGAAAAGAAACTTGCGAATTAAAATTCGCGCGCCAGCAATAAAAAATAAATGCGATATTGTAAAGCCAACAACATTTCAACAAGCCAAAGGAGCATTTACCTATGTATTCATGTGTGTATGAATGTGTTAAGTAAATAAGGGGTACCTATGTACATATGTGGGTGTCTTAACGTGTTGTTGTCGATGTGTCTCTTCCATTGTGTTGCACATTTTTCGGCCAGGTTTCCATTTTCTACAATCTACAAATGATTTAACTGTATTTTTGGTTAAGAAGCAAAGAAATGAAAATTATTGATAAATACATTTCACAAACAATAAAATTAACAATTTTGCATTACATTTTGAGCTTTCATTGTACAAGGAGTATTATTTAGTTATCATTTTGCTTCCCTTGCTGTACAAATGAATGATAGAATTTCACTTTCCAATGGCCATAATACCCGTGTAGGGGTTTATTATTTTAGAATTATAAAGTCAGGCTTCGCTATAATTTTTTTCTCATAAAATATCAAATATTTTCCCCAAATTAAATACCCCTTGTCTTGCCATTGCCATTTACGAGTATAATATTATAATGTGCATATTTTGTAAGTTGAAAATAATGAGAGTTCTCTGAACCCTTGAAGGGTCACCGCCGGTATCCGAAATGCAATTAACATTTCAGTCAGGCCAGGCTTGCGGCAGGAAAAGTTTTCTAACACACATAAATCTTAATCGCGACAGGAATCTATCCCTCCTCCCACCCATCCACCGCTCTGACAGAGCTGCGTGTAAGAAATTAAGGCTGCCAACGGGGTTGACAGAGGGTGAATGTTACTTTCGGCATGCAATTTGCCTTTATGACTTCCGCAAATCAACTTTTATTCCAATACTGAAATTTTCACTTTTTTACCCGGTTTTTTCTCCTTTTGGTTAGCAATGTCTTGAAAAAAGAGGAAGATAAAGGTGAAACAGATAGAAATGTACGCAGAGTGAAAGAAATTTTGCGGCATAAACAGAAAGTTGCCGAAAAATACAAAAAAAAAATACAAAAAAAAACAAGCGTAAAATACAAAATTTAAAAAGCGAAAGAGTTGACAACGAAAGCGTCGATGACGCTGGGGCCCTTGGGAGGGGAGAGTATTGCAAGGCGGAACAGCAGCGAAGAAGAGAGAGAGAGAGAGAGGAGTAGCAACAATAAAATATTCAAAAAAGAAAGACCGAAAAAGTTTTGTTAAAGTGAAATGCTGCTGTCGCTGCGGCTGCGGCTGTGACTGCGAATGCCTCTGCCTCTGCTGATTGTGAAGTCTAGGCAAACGCACACACACTCACACACCAGCCCTGGCAGCGCCCCATGCTGGCCCAAGCCCTGCCGCCCCTCCGCACCCCCTCCCAACCAACAGCTCCCCTCATAGCTAGAGATAGTGCGAACGCCCGTTAACACTCGACAAACTATGAAGCTACAAAATGCTGTCTGCCTCTATGCGTGTGTGCATGTGTCGTACATACATCCATACATACATAGATATGTGCGTGTGTTTATGTGTGTATGGGTTGGCAGCGGCAAAAGCACACACAATCATCATCGCCAGCGTCAACATAGTAAAAGTCTAAAATCGACAAACAAAAAAAATTTATTTTCGGCGGTCATTCAACTCGCACGCACACACGCACAATCACATAAACGCACGCCGCCAGAGCGATAGAGCAATAAAGCGGCACAAAGAGCGTGAAAGAGAGGGAGGGAGAGAGAGAGAGTGCGTGAGCGAGCGCGGTCGACGCCTGTTATGCGGGAGGGGAGTGTACGTCGACGTCGCGACGGGTATCGTGGGGACAGCGGCAGCGCAGCGCACGCACATTACAACATCCCACACACACACGCAGACCCACAATAGAGAAATACTTTCTATGGCTTTTGCTGTTCCCCCTTGCCGCTGCCCCAAACACTCCTTGGCTACTATTTTCTTTTCAAACTGAAATTATTATTATTTTTTATGCAGTCCAAGTTTGGAGCCAAAGAAAAGAGCAAAAGTCCAATAAAGAGAGAGAGAGAGAGGAAGGGAGAGATTGTGAGAGTTTAGAAGAAAGAAGAGCGGAAATTCTGCTGCCCATTTTCTTTGTTTGACAATTATTGCGTGAATTTCCATGATTACCGCTGCTGGCGTATTAATTGCCATTGCCTGTAGGAGAACGCTCTCAACCCACGAATTTAACATCCTCTCTGCCAGTCCGTTGACCGTTAACTACTTCGGATCTGGCACAAGCGATAAAGTCCATAAGTAGTATTTTGCTTGCTTCCAGATTTTAATATCTGGATAATCTGGATAGTACGTGCAGTCCAGGTCTCACTTACCATATATCTTCAAAGTGAAAAGAGACTGAGTGAGTCAGCAGAAATGGAGGGTAACCTATGAAGTCATATGCTGATATGTTTAGTGATGATTACGGTCCAGCTTTTAAGGCACTGCCTAACATGGCCATAAAGCGAGAATTCTAAAACGTACGAACATTTGTATAGTTATGTGTAAAGTATTCAGAATGTTGTGCCAAGAATTCAAAGTACTCTAGTTCCGAATATTTCGACTTATTTAGGGAATTTTAATCGCTTCTTTCTTTATTTGGATGTGTCTTAGAAGTACATATAGAAATTACATATAAAGCTGGAATTAAAACCCACTAAATCAACTTGGATCACTTGCGAAAGTCTTCTTCTATCTTCCTTCTAAACCATTATATGAATTGGCTCGAATCTTTTCTGGTTCTTCCCGATATTTGACAGATGTTTGTAATAAGTTTTGCCACACAACCAACACACACACTTGCACGTTCTCGATGGCATGGCAGACATAAAAAACTTAAATTTGGCATGGAATTTCCCATCATCCCGCCTTGTTGTGCCACCCCCATCAATGTATGTATGAATGTACAATATGTACTCATATCCATATAGATTTCGTATGTGGAGCATGCAAATATTTTGAAAATTCTGGTCTGTCTGCTGGAGCAAATAAAGCAATTTGTTCTTGTTTCGGTTGGAAGTTCATTCGCATTTGTACTAGAAAACTGTTAAGAGTTCACAAACCACATATGGAGAGGTCTGTCTCATTATTTGTTCTGATAATTTATGGAAACTTACAAGAGTGCTGCCAAATCCACGCAGCGGTTAAACGATTGACACGCGAAGAGTTCAACGAACCGTGAGTAACACCGCCGTAAAGATAACCCAACATTTGACAAACCTATAAACCGATATGTCTGAGAATTTAACAACATTCTGATCAGACTACGATGGAAACTATCCTGTGAGGAATTCTTGTTCCACTTAAAGTTACGTTCAGATGGCATCGATATGATATTATCTGCACTCCTCAATCGATGAGTGCTTTGCCGACTATACGCAATGATAGCGGATTGAAAGTTAATCGTTATCTTCAGTCTTTTTCCCACAACTATTGTAAGAAAAGCAAAAATACACACTTGTTACATATATGTATGTATGTTCAAGTGCTCGTAGACGAGATAAGCCTAACCACAGAATGTGTGTCATAAGGCCACCACAACTTCAGGGCTTTATGTCAGCGCTGTAGTCAAGAGGCTATGCTAAATGTAGACAACAAATGCAACCCATGAAAAAGTACTAGAATATTCTTTGGAAAATGATTAGTAGATAATTAGTAGATAAACTAAGGAAAGTTTTCGAGGGG